CTGGTGAATGGAGAGGCAGACACAACTTATTGGTTGCAAAAAACTTTACTCACGCCGCTTGCAATCACGACGCAGGTGGTCCGGTCATCGGAACAACCACACAAGTTGCTCCAGCTGGCGGGGCCCAAGCCAGTTAATCTGTCCGCAATTCGAAGCCGGCGGGGAAAGGGGTACGTCGGGGTTGCGCTCGGTGACGGGAAGAAAGATCGATAGGTGATCAGTCTATCAATCGGCAGCCGCAAGTCAGATAACTTCAGAGGCACTCTGCAGCATGCTCAAAGCTCTTCGACTTGGGCGGAAGTCGCATGGAATTTTAAACGGCCAGCGAGCCAATTACTAGCCGCCACGTGTGAATAATTTAGCACTGGCCAATAGCGGGGCACAAATTTGCATCCGAATAGCGGGAACTCTTTGCACCGTGCATTTCTGTGCTGCAAAGAAGAAATGCATCCTGCAAAGGAAACTGCAAATTGGCGGGAACTCTCCTGCACGCAGGCTCTTAATTGCAGCAGAACACTCTGCCGTGCAAAGGAGCTCTCATGTGGCCAGGAAATTCCATAGTGCCGAGGCACAAAAAATCACTGGGTTGTATCAAGTGGGATTTGCTTATACCCAATACTGTCATCAGATCCTAACTAAAGTAAAGTTAGAGCAAAATGTCACTGGCTTTCCCTTTTCTATAGGCCACTGTCAGGAAGACTGGTAGGATGTAGTCAATGTATAAATGTAACAATGGTGAGGGCAGCTGAGAGGTTCTGAACACCGATCAGAATGGTGATAGATGGACTCCCCAGTTTAACACATGCTAACAAAAACAATCACAATAAAGATTTGTCCTTGTGAGGCAGGGAAGGCCTGAGTGGCCCTTCCAGAGGTCACACTGCCTGAACAGTCTGTGGCAGAGCTAGTATTGCAAACCAGACCTCCAGTCCACATCTCCTGACTCCCAAGTCCTATGGTTCAACCTAAAACACATCCTTCCATGCCACACAGTGGAGTACTTAGTACTCCAGTCCCTGTCACCATGGACCAGCTACTGCAACAGCTTTACAAGGGCCCAGAATTCCACAGGTTAAGCTGGGAGCCAAGGGAAGCTGTTGGTGTCCACCCACCTGGCAGATTCATGGATGAAGTGAGCCACCTACTGATGAGCGGACTGCATAGATACCACTGTATTTAGGGACCTATTTAATTTGTGGTTTTACGGATTTTGTGGAAGCCACAAAATCCAGGGTTGTCTGCAAAATCCATGAAATCAACAAAAAAATGTTTAATAAAAATAAAATCCTGGCTCCTCAGTGGGAGCCAGCAGTCCTCGCTGCTAGAAGGGGAAGGTGCTGGTGGTCCCCTTGTCCTTCCTGCCCCCACCAGGGCCTCTCCGCCAATTAGTGCTGAGAGGCAGGGCTGCACAAAGGGCAACAAGTAATCAACATGGAAGCCACCCCCTTGTCCCTAGAGCTTCTCTGCCAATCAGCACCAAGAAGTAGGGCCACATGAAGAGCAGCCAGCAATCAAGATGGTGACCACCCCCTCATCCCTCCTCTGCCTCAGTGCCTCTCAGCCAATCAGTACCAAGGGGCAGGACCTCTCCACAAATTAGCACCAAAGGGTGGGACCACTGCAAAATGACCAGGGAATTAGAATTTTATGCCACTATCAACCCACCAAAATTGGTAAGTACCCCCATGATTATTTTAGGTAGACCCCTGAACATGCTGTTTTCTGAGCATTGCCAAACAGAATGCCTTAAAGCAAATGAAGCAGGCAGCATTACAATCAACTTACTGCAAGATTCCAACGTAGCCCTCCACAAACAGTTCTTCTTGTACCCCAACACTAAGACATTGGGCTTCATCTTCCCAAGACCAGAAGCCTAAGGTAATAGGTACTTTTCAATGTTAGCATTACTATATACACCCATGTGGAGAAAACTTACCTGAGGCAGGAGAAAGGTGGTGGGATGCTGTGCCAGCAGTTGGCAGCAGCGAAAGTAAAACCGCAGTGGCGGGAGCCACCACGGTCCAAGATCAAAGGGAAAACCCGCGGTGGAGCTGGGAGAAGCCGGGCATGCTTTGTAAAAGCATGCCAAGGGCGATTGGCCAGGTGGCCACCGGGCTAAAAGGCCCAGCAGGAAGGAAGCCGGGGAGACCGAAAGTGGTGTCCCCAACCGGCTTGGAGAGGACCAAGACTCCTGCGGCGAAGAAGACATGGTGGCGCCCCAGAGGGGGAACCACGGAAGGCAAGTCAGGCCAGCGAGGGCCCAACGAGTCACCTACGAGGCTGGCGTGGGCGGAGGCTGGCAACAGCGGTGACTGGGACACCAGCGGAGACAACGAAGACATAGTCTCCATACCCCCAGGGGTCCACGGACCACAGGTTGAAAACTACTGCACTAAACTATACTTTCATCAGCTTTGAGTAAGGGGTTTAGCAAGCATTGCATCATACTAGGCATAGCACCAGGAAGCATTGCTCCTCAGAGACACCCTTCTGAGTCATCTCTCTTCCCTGGCTTACTCCTTGCTCCAGGGTAGGTGATCCTGGCTGGCAGCTTATGTCAGCAGCAAATTCTTCACTCTTCTACATTGTGTTGACCAATGGATAAAGGAAAGTGGAGTCAAAGATCCACCTGTGTGGCACCCAGCAGCTTCAGGGGTGGAGCGGATAGGTGCAGAGCCTTAGATGCAGGTAGCTGGTTTTCAGATGCTAGGGGAGTTTTCATTTCCCTTGAGTCCTTGGGTGGGGGTATACTACAACTCACAAGCCATCCCTGAGCCAATATCACCCGCACCAACAGAACTGATCTGACCTCAATTAAAAGTTTGGAGAACCCCTATGAGAAGCATGAAAGGATTCCTTGATACAATATTAACAGCAGGTGGCAACAGTCCCTTGGTGGTTTGCTACACAGTTTATAGCTTTACCTGCGTAAGTATTTGGACCCCGCTTCTCAAGTTCTCAGCTACCACATCTGTATAGAAAGCCTTGAACTTTCCCTTGATTAGCCATCTTGTATGGCCACCAGAGTTGAGCCTGGATTCTGGCATCTTCTGCTAGCATGGTCCCTTTAATTGAATAGGAGCAAAGGACACAAGACTAACCTTAAGAATCAGGGTGTGTGTGTGTCATGCAGCCCCTTTTTGGCTGGTGTTTTTAAGTTTATCATTACAAAGTTTTGCAGCTTTGCACTCCGGAGTTCTATTTCTAAGAGTCTCTTCAATCGTACAAGAGACCCAGACTGAGCTTCTAGTTGTACAGAAAATTCCCATCAAGCAAACATCCCATTAGTCCTCACTGCAATGAAGAGTACTTAGAATTTGGTGGATTGCGTGTTCCCAGCACCACCCACACTTAGGGCCAGATTGTATTCCTCCTGGTAGGTATCTAAGTGGGCCTAAGCACCCAAGTTCAATTTGATTCCACACTGTTCCGGTCCTGAAAAATCCACTAATGTAGGTATTTTTGTAAACTACCATTGTCTTACCCTTAAGACTGATCCACAGAAAAGCAGCAAGGAGGAAGAGCCACCCACCTTTTGCATTAACTGTTTTTTGGAGACTTGAGCACAGTAGAAGAGTTATACTTATAGCACCTAAGTCCATTTATGGGCCTAATTGCCTAACGGTCTGAACAAAATCTGATCCCTTGTGATTCCTCAGGCCTACAGATACCTATCAGACTTATGTGTTTATACCTATGTATATATACACACATATACACATACACACACACACAAGGGTGATAGGTATCTGCAGGCCTGTGGAGCCACAAGGGGTCAAATGTATATAAAAAGGTGAAAATAGTTGTGAAACCAAAGAGGGTCACACAGGGCCAACCTCTGAAGTCCTGACTCAGGGTCTGACTTAGATTCCCTCTGTGAAGTCAATGGCAAAATATCCTCTATTGATAATGAGAGTCAATCCTTCCTCAGCCAAAGTCTCACTGAAGCCAGGGAAGCTTTTGCTGACAAGGGACTTGGGTAGAAATTGAGAGGAACAGTCAGGATTTGGTCCATAACGTGTACTTTCTTGGTTCTTCTTAGAGACGGAGTTGTATGTGCACAACCTCAGATTCATGTATTGATCTATCTTTGCAAATCCCAGCCTAAGGGATTCACCCAAAGCTGCCCTGAGTCAAAAATTTGACCACAGATGCCCAGCCAGGTGTCTTTATCACAAGATGCTCCTTAACTATACAGAGGATTGATTATACTCCCGTTGATCAGAATCAATGTGACCAACTGTCAGTCTGTTTCACCTCAGGCAAAAAAGAATACATCTGCCCCAGACATTTGATCTGGAAGAGATAAAGTCACTAGAACACACCGTTGTCCTATGATCAGTGTCCCCTCTTTTTAAAAGCAATGTCTGATCTTCACATGGCAGTTAATCTGCAGCAGGAAGCCATTAGCTCATAACATCATTCTTGCCTCTTATCTATCATGCTTAATTAGTTGAGCTATATCCAACCTAAACAGCATTACCTTTATTTTGCCATTTCATGATGCATAAAAAAATACTGTTAACTCACTGGTACATGAGAAAGAACCAGGCTTTTCTATTTTCCTCTGAATTGTCTCCAGACCATCCATCACCTTAATTGTGAGTTTATTCCCTGGCTTCTTTACAAAGAAGTTGTTAGCATACTTCATGGAGCTGTCTGATCTTCCCCTCCCACTAATTAAACAATTTTCTGCTTAAAGAAAACTTTATGGCTTTGAACAATCAAGCTGGTTATGCTGGGAATGTTTTGTCAAAGGGAAGAGTCTGGTATCTTTCCCTGACTGTGTTATGCCTCTGGGTTACTCAGACTTCTTCAAGAAGTATGTTCCACACCTGAACCTTCTCATGTGTCAATGCTTTTTTTCAGTTGCATCCTCATAAAGGGACGCAGCTGTGTAGGTGCCAGAGCACTCAGCTGTGGTAGCAGAACTTCATTTTCGGTGTTCCAACTTACTAAACTTCAGTGGAACAAATCCTGAAATCCCCACACAGGGAGGCTCAAGCTAAAGCAACACTTTAGCCCTGGGGCTTTCAACTCATCTGGGATCCCAGGCCAGATCCTGACTGTGGGGCTCTGCGTGGGCTGGATCCAACCCAGGGCACAGTGGTGGATCCAACCCATGGTGGCAGTGGTGTAGGGTCCAGGGCAGGAGGAGTTCAGGGTCCGGCAGGGGCTGGAGTAGGGGTAGTGCAGGGTCTTGTAGAGGCAGGGGTAGGGGAGGATCTGGCAGCAGTGCAGGAAGTAAAAGCATGCTACAGGTCCAGCAGTGGCAAGGGCTACAGGAGCATAGGATACAGCAGCAGTAGGCCAAGATTGCTGCCAATGTCTATGCCCAATAGGGTCAAAGGACCCAATTTCTGGTGCCCTCCAGTAGCCCAGTGGGTTGGATAGGGAGGCTCTTTGGGCTATGTGTTTGATACCTCTGCTTTAGCCACCAGTGAGTTTTGAACCCAGGACTTTCAGAGTAAACTCCATGATAACAGTGCACTCTTTTAACCACAAACAATATAAGACTCATGTATCTTTATTAGAGGGAAACAAATTGTTGTTGTTTCCCCCAAATGTAGCAGAATGCACTGTAAAATTTGCCCCAGACTGTTTTTCAGGGAACATAACATATTTATTTCCCTTTGCCCCGGCTGCCAAGTACTGAGGGTTGGAATAGCTGTCTCTAGCCCCACCTACCACTGTGGCAAATGCTGCCTTTACTGGGGAGACAAATAGCAGGTACTTCAAGAATAACTCACTATCAGCACGTTCCCACAAATCATCAAGCTGGGGTTTTTGGTGAATGTGCCCACAAAATCCTTCAGGGCTGGACACAAGTTTGGAGGCACAGTTAGAACAAGACACTGAGGTCTAAAGAGAAGAAAAAAAATGCTGGTATTTTACAACAGGAAGTCACTGCTGAGCTGGTAGGAATGCTGTCTGTAGGCCCTACACTGCTAAGAGTCTAGGCAGCATCTTTTAGCAAAGAGGTAGAACTCTGAAGTTTGAGTCCTTCTCTACCAAACTACCAGATTCACCTCTGGTTGCAAACCAGACAGAACTCAGAAGAACAGGCCTCCTTGCAAGGTTTCCTGCACTGAGAGCTCTTCTTCCACTTCTGGCTGCAATCCAGAGATGCAGAAAGGAGTGAGAAGTTAAGCAAAGTTATTCAAGTCCAATAAAGTTTCATTTGGGGCTCCGTTTGCTGATTATTCCTTTGAAGGGCACAACAAGGACTCCTTCATATAAGCAAGTACCACCTGTGCTTGGAGATGAGCTTAGTGCTCTCTCCCCATCAAACTGTACTCTGTTTTCTGGAGGGAAACAAGAGTAACACTTGCCTATAGTTCTTAACATGATCATCCACTTCATTGAGTCCCACCAAATAGTTCAAGGCCATGTTGTATGAACCTGCCTGTACAGACAAGCCCCAGTTCACTTCTGGAGAAGAAGAAACATCTGGAACATATTAATCCATTTTAAAACAGTAAGAGGAAAAATGTTAGCCATGAGCTGTGTTCCCTGCATGTGCTGGTTGGTTACTATTTGGTTGTTCAGGAGACTTGGGTTGTCACACACAGTTTTGTTATTATGGTTCACTCCAAAGAGAAAAGCTGTATATGCCTCAGCTTGTTTAACTGTCTATGTGATGCAAAGTAGAGGGTCTCAGTTCAATTGGCACTGCTCATGTCCACATTATAAAACCCCCTCTCCCAACCAACACCTTGTGGGCAGACCCAGCAGAGAGAGGCCAAGACATTAGATGTGAGGCAGGTTGACAGGACACAACATGGCAGAAATTTGACCTGCTCAGTCCTCTGAGTTCTTAATCTGCTTTTTTCACCAGTGCTGTCATTTAGTTAAGTACAAGGAGACCAATTATACACCAGGCTTTTTGTAGAGCACATACCCTAATAAGAAGACAACAATGCCAATAGCTATCAGAGATGCCCACCAGGTCAGGAGAAACACGATCACGACACATGACAGCACCAAAAAGAGCAGCCCATTGGCTATAATACCTAAATGATGGTCTCCATCCTGTGTGGACAAGACACAAACATATGACTCTCACTTCTGACACCAAATTCTTAACTCAAACATGAGAGAAAAAAGGAGGAGTCCTGCAGCCTTGGAGGAGAGGGAACAGGGCATCCTGTTTATGTGAGATATTCATAGGACCCCCATCACATAAGTAGCCAAGCACCTCACACTCTTGAATATGTTTATCCTTATGCTACCCCTGTTAGACAGTGCAGTTCTTTTGTCCTCCTTGTATAAGTGGACTGAAACTAAATGACTTGCACAGTGTCACACAGGAAGTCCCTGGCAGATCAGGGAATTGTCACGACCCAGTGATTTTGGTGCCTCGGCACTATGGAATTTCCTGGCCACATGAGAGCTCCTTTGCAAGGCAGAGTGTTCTGCTGCAATTGAGAACCCGCGTGTAGGAGAGAGTTCCCGCCAATTTGCAGTTTCCTTTGCAGGATGCATTTCTTCTTTGCAGCACAGAAATGCACGGTGCAAAGAGTTCCCGCTATTCGAATGTAAATTTGTGCCCCGCTATTGGCCAGTGCTAAATTATTCACACGTGGCGGCTAGTAATTGGCTCGCTGGCCGTTTAAAATTCCGCGCGACTTCCGCCCAAGTCGAAGAGCTTTGAGCACGCTGCAGAGTGCCTCTGAAGTTATCTGACTTGCGGCTGCCGATCGATAGACTGATCACCTATCGATCTTTCTTCCCGTCGCCGAGCGCAACCCCAGACGTACCCCTTTCCCCGCCGGCTTCGAATTGCGGACGGATTAACTGGCTTGGGCCCCGCCAGCTGGAACAACTCGCATGGTTGTTCAGATGACCAGACCACCTGCGTTGTGATTGCAAGCGGCGTGAGTAAAGTTTTTTGCAACCGATAAGTTGTGTCTGCCTCTCCATTCACCAGCCTGCCCTAACGTATGACCAATTTCCAACGTAACTCGAATCGGCTCTGGCCGTCCGAGACAGGAATCAGACCCCAGTCTTCCAAATCTAGGCTAGTACCCATAGCAATGGGCTCTTCTTTCTCTGCAAACATAGGGTACAAGGGCAGGAAGAGAGAGAACTTTATAAGATTCAGGACAGGAAATTACTATTGCACCCAACCATCATCACCCAAGATCATCTGGTGTTAGACCTGAAGATACCCCCATTGCCTAATCATCAAGGATCCTCCAAGCCCATCACTAATGTCTTCTTATCCAGTTCTCACACTCTCTTCTTCTGCAAAGAGTTATCACCCACCCTTCTAAAACTGAGACACCTGAAATTACCTCAAGAACAACAAGATGGGTGCAGTGACTGAGACACCCACCTGGTAGCAGACACTCACCTGGTGAGTTAGTAATGGAAGCGTGGAAGCAGCTGAAATTGATGACAGCATATGAGCAGAGGAAGAAGTTGGAGATGATTGGGGCAATAGTGTTCAGTTCAGCTGCAGGATTCAGAAACATGGGCAGATCATTAGCGTCTACCATCCCCTGGCCAGCACAAGTCTTCAAGAATGGGAAATAGGTGAAAAACAAGAAATCAGAGTTCTGGCTGATTGTTCCTTCAGTCAGAAATATTTCCAAGCTTCCAACCTCCTCCTTGCTTATTTATGTGTTTGGAAGGACTGGAAGAAGGCCAATGTGGTGCCTATCTTCAAGAAAGGGAGGAAAGTGGATCCGGCTAACTATAGGCCCATCAGCCTGACTTCTATCCCGGGGAAGATCTTAGAAAAGTTTATTAAAGAGGCCATCCTTAATGGACTGGCCGACGCCAACATCTTAAGGGATAGCCAGCACGGGTTTGTTGCGGGTAGGTCTTGCTTGACCAATCTCATTTCCTTCTACGACCAGGTGACCTATCACCTGGACAAGGGAGAAGAGATTGATGTCATATATCTTGACTTCAAAAAAGCCTTCGATCTGGTGTCCCATGATCGCCTCTTGGAGACACTGGCCAATTGTCGCCTTGGGTCCTCCACGATCCGCTGGCTGGAAAATTGGCTCCGGGGTCGGACCCAGAGGGTAGTAATCGATGGAAGTCACTCATCGTGGTGTCCTGTGACCAGTGGGGTCCCCCAAGGCTCTGTCATTAATTAACATCTTCACAACATCTTCATTAATGATGTGGACACTGGAGTCAGAACCGGACTGGCCAAGTTCGCCGATGACACCAAACTTTGGGGCAAAGCATCCACACCAGAAGACAGGCAGGTTATCCAGGCTGACCTGGACAGGCTCAGCAAGTGGGCGGACGAGAATCTGATGGTGTTCAAGGCTAGAAAAGCGACCAAAACGCTGGCTTGCATCCATAGATGCTTCTCAAGCAAATCCCGGGACGTCATTCTCCCCCTGTACTCGGCCTTAGTGAGGCCGCAGCTGGAGTACTGTGTCCAGTTTTGGGCTCCACAATTCAAAAAGGATGTGGAGAAGCTTGAGAGAGTCCAGAGAAGAGCCACGCGCATGATCAGAGGTCAGGGAAGCAGACCCTACGATGACAGGCTGAGAGCCCTGGGGCTCTTTAGCCTGGAAAAGCGCAGGCTCAGGGGTGATCTGATGGCCACCTACAAGTTTATCAGGGGTGACCACCAGCATCTGGGGGAACGTTTGTTCACCAGAGCGCCCCAAGGGATGACGAGGTCGAATGGTCACAAACTACTTCAAGATCGTTTCAGGCTGGACATAAGGAAGAATTTCTTTACTGTCCGAGCCCCCAAGGTCTGGAACAGCCTGCCACCGGAGGTGGTTCAAGCGCCTTCATTGAACACCTTCAAGATGAAACTGGATGCTTATCTTGCTGGGATCCTATGACCCCAGCTGACTTCCTGCCCTGTGGGCGGGGGGCTGGACTCTGATCTTCCGAGGTCCCTTCCAGCCCTGATGTCTATGAAATCTATGAAATTTCCCCTTGACCCACACAACAAATCATCAGCCCCTTTTGTCCAGACCAAACTTCATTTAGAAAACAGCCCCAGCTTAGTCCTTCTCTGTGTCCTATTGATCTCACTTCCATATGGTGGGAAGGACATTGAGTGGCAAATTGGCAGCTCAAGTTTCAGTACCACGAGAGAAAGAGCCATTGGAAACATTTTACTGAGCTAACCCTATGATTTCCTGATGTTTGACATATCTGTGACCTTCAGAGAACAAGCACTGTGTGGGGTCCTAAGAGTTGGACCCCCAATCTGGGTCCAATCTCCCCTCACATTGGGGTAAATATGAAGGAAGACTCCACCAGACCAGCCAAGTTGTGTGAAACTGCTGGAAGTGAGGGCAGGAGAAGGCTATTCTTTGGTATCAGATTCTCTCTTAAAACCTCTTGCTCACAGAACATGATCCTCCAGGCCATGTAAGAAAAAGCTTAAAAAATGCACTGATTCTGTTTGCAAAGAAATAACCACCTGGCACCAGGCTGATTACTAATCATTCTGTAATGATAAATAGAGGATTACCTTGTGGAAACTGGCACCCTATGGAATCAGAGGTGCTTGCCAATAAGAATTAATCCCAAGGCAATAATGTAGGTCAGCATGTAACCTCTGATTGGCTCATTGTTCTTGCCATAGCCCTTCTCAAAGAAGCCTATGAGAGGGTATAGTTGGCCCTTGCACAGGCACTGTGGAGAGAAATGTATGTTGTCCACAGCTGAGGGCACTGTGGGCTAAGTAGCACCACACAGGACAGGGATTCAGGTTACCTGACTCTATTCTATATGTTATCTGTAATCAAGAAGCACTGTAGGCTAATGGTTACAGTGAGGAGTTGGGCTAATGTTAGAAAACTCACAGACTGGCAATCAGGATGCTACTGGCTGAGCATATAACCTGGGGCTTCCATAGACTTACTCTAGAATTACATGAGTATAAGCAGAATTTGACCACCAACCTAGTGAGGTGCCCACGTCTCATTCAGTTTGGAAAAACTAACTAGTAACTCTAGCTTGCCTTCCAAGTTGGGAGGACAGGGCACAGCTACCATGGATAGCACTGAGGGAGGGCATGTCTCCCTAATTGTCATTGTTAATAAACGCGCAAATGTAATGGGCCAAATTCTGCCTTATGTGCAGTCCCCAGGATATGAAGAGTCTCATGAGGACAACTGAGTGGAGAAACTTGGTCCAGGAGGTTTACACAAATGAAAGCCAAGTCAAGAGGACAGCATGCAAAAATTAGCATTCTGTATGTTCCACAGTTCACAGGCTGGGAGCACAAGGGAATCAGGGAAGATGCACCTCCAGGTACATGATATAGAAGGATCAGGGGTCAAAGGAATAGGACTGTAGAGCTGGTGACATCTAATGACATGCTGCAGGGCTAAGTGTGGTTATGATTGGCCAGTTATACAACTCACAGTGCTGACACTTGGTAGACATTTGGTCTATAATTATAGATACCAGTATTCTCCTAAATTGTCACTGACTTGTATTTATTTTAAACAACCAAGACAACAGAAAGCACTGGATGGTTTTTCTTAGTTCTCCCAGTATTTCCAAGTGCTGCAGACTAACCTGGAAGACTTTGGGCACTGAGACAAGGCAGGCCAGGGCCGACGAAAGGGTGACACTGAAGATCCCAGCTGTGATCAAAGGGGCAAACCCAGATACCATGCTCATACTCTTCAGAAAAACTAGGGCAAATCAAGCCCCTGCTGCATTACATTGGTTTATTTGTTCAGGTTCCTGCCCAAGAGGCACACAGACTCTGACAGCCACTAGTCAGAGTCCAGCTCTTATTTGTGTTACATCCCCAAAACCCTACCTTAAAACATGAAGGATGAAAAGCCAAGCACCAAGAGATAAGGAAATGCTACAATGGAGGGAGTCTGTGCAACCTTAATTCAGCCCCCTCTCTACATCCATTAAGATAGAGTCTTTAATTATGTCATACATCTTTTGCCTCCCATCTGCTTCATCCAGTTTGCAGGATGCTCAGGAGGAGAATCAGGGCTGTGAAGTGAATGTGACTGCTGACTGTAGGAGCCGCATCTTATTTTTTTCACCAGCCTGTCACTTGGTGAAGAGACATTAAACAGTATTTCACTCAGCTGTCCTACCAGCCTTACAGGCCTACTGGCCAAGTGGGGTGTAACTAATACTAATACAGTATTTCTATTATTCAGGGCAATCATACAGATTTAGCTCACTGAAGTCAACCAACTAAGAAAGATCATATCCAGCCATGAACATCTTAGGAGTTCCTGAGCAAAGTAGCTGGACCAATTCAAATGTAGGAGACCATTTTGCTGAACTTACATTCTCAAGAGTGACAGTCACACTACCTGGTAATAATTGCTGAGTCCGAAGTGACAGCTTTGCTTCTGAGCACATTCAGTAAAGTTCCAGCCATAGCCACAAGCTAGTCCCACACAGTCTGGAGAGTCAATGGGAATGGTGTCATTCACACTCCCAGAGGCATCACGTACTATGCAGGCACCTAGGACAGAACAGCTCTATTTCATTTCCCACCTATCTTTTCCAATGTGTTACATAATGCCTATGCATAAATGCCCCAATGCAATACTCACTCCTACTAACCAGTGCTCTTTATTGATCCCAAGTTACTGTTAGCTCCTAGAGCTAACTTGCATTAACATTTGGTTTACAAGAAACTTTTCCCTTTATGCCCACCCCACAGCATGTAGGCATCCACTCAGCACTAAATTAAGCTGCCAAACGTCCTGTCCCAAGGAAAGCACATACTGGGACTACTGTCAAACCTAGGCTGAATTCTTTGGGGGCAGTCATTCTGTGGGTCATTCCAATGTCAGTAGCTGTGAGATTGGTCACCGCGTGCTAGATTGTTCAGCCCTTTGTTGGCAAGAACTTACTCACTCATGAACATAAGCATCGATTGTGGACTCCAAGCCCTAAATCTTCAATATTCAAATCAGGGAACAATTTTTACAGACAGCCTTTAATAAAGGGGTTTTGAGGGCCACTTAACAGTCCCCAAGCCTTTGTAAGTCTCAGCACCATGTCTGTCACCAGTCACCATGGCTTCCTTAGCCATCCTCTAACACCCCATCACCAGCACTTACACAAGTCTTCATGCCGTCACACCTCTACCCTGAAACAGACTGGGTTGTTCAGACATAATGAAGATGTCTGATGCCCAGTGATTCCTGATACCTAATTACCCCATTTCTAACCAAAATGAAAGGAATTAACTGCAGACATTTAATAATATGTTACTTCCCTGCCACTCATATCTGGCACATTACTTACCAATTGTAGCAGAAATTGCCAGATAGGATATTGTAGTCCAGAATATAGTCATCAGAGTGCCTTTGGGAATGGCTACAGCAGGATCCTACCCAAAGGAATCACAGAATCAAACAACTGCTTCTAGGGGTAGCACAAAATCATCCTTAATATTTTCAGCTATGAGACAGCAAGAACAAAACCAAACCAAACCACCACACCTTCATGCAGATAGAATATTACTTTTGTGCTGAACCAAAAGGATTATATTAAAGGAAGAAAATAACTCAGCAACTCCCTCTTTCCAAAGATGAGAGATTTGTTTCTGCATAGAATTTCCATCTGAGGGGAAATGTAGTTATTTCAGCATTGGTTAAGGCTGATAAGTTAGAGTATCAAAAGTCGGGCAGAAGGAGATGTTCCAAAATAACCTTGCACATTTCAGCACATGTATTTCAAATGTTCCTTTAGAAAACTGAAAAATGTCAGTTTCCCAAAGTTAGTTTTGATTCTCTTTTTTCTACTGTGAAGAAAAGCCCAAAAGGCCAGCCTGACACAGTTCCATTCATTCATCTACAGATTAGGAGTATAATGATCATAACCTGTCAACAACTGAAGCTGTGCATTAAACAATCCTTGGTCTGCTATGATGATATAACCATTGAAGAGGAGCAAACTCAGCATATAATTTCATGTGCTCATCTTAATCCCTTTATTTTGACAACATATAGCTCTACTGAATTCAGCAAACCCCCATAGACTTATCTTCAGGGCAGGAATACAAAAATACTGACTTGCCAGACATACAAATCATCATAACTGGTATTCACTGGGCAATTTTAAAAGTGGAAGTTTAAAAGTGCAAAACACACGCATCATCTCTGGCTGATACAAAAGAGGGAAAAGAGCACCTTAATGAGCAAGTTCTAAAAACATTTTGCAAATCTAAAGGTCATGCAACATTTAATGAAGTCTCTTAACATAAATGCTCAAGTGCCCTGGGGGTCTAGTTGTATTGTATAGAGAAGGCCTTTCATCTTATAAACAGATGAGTTACAACAGACACCTAAACATGCATCATTGGTTAAAATAAAGCAACCTTACAATGTTCCAGATGGTCCTAGTTTGTAGGTAGCTCAAAAATTCTGCAAGGACAGTCTCTCTCATTATTTTGAAACTCATGCTCCAGGCAGCAGGTAAAAATGAAGAAACAAAAAAGCTGACCAAACTTTTCCTAACCTCAAAAATAGCTCAGTTTGTTACATGGGAGAAGGTTTATCCCAATCAGTTCAATCATTCCTGTGTGATAAATGGAGGCACCCCAGCATTAACTGAGTTCTGCCTCTTCAGGTTCTCCTCTGGCATCCTTACAATAAGTCTAATGGCCCAATGCTACAGGATGCTTCATGACCTGGTCTCTAAGCCTAAATCCCTGGGTCTCCTCTCATTCAGAACAACAGTTTACAGAAGTATTGCAACTGCCTCTAGAGCCAGCCAAAAACTGTGATTACTTTTTAAATGACTTTTTATAAAATTTACATGAAGTATTTTGAAAAAAAAAGAGTAATCAAACCCAGGTCTGAAAATGGAACCATTCTTCCAAGTAAAATGGGATCTGAACCCCAATTATTCCAGGTCTTGGGCTTACAATATCAAATACCAATTAAGGATGTTTAGCAAACTCTAGAACGTGCCCATGTCTCTTGGTGTCTGACCAGCATAGCCTCAAGCCTGCCAAGAGCAGGGTCCCTTTCCCTTGTGATGTTGTTATCTTGTAGAAATATTAAAACCTACCTTCAAATCACCAGAAACATTGGCTCCAGCCAAGATGCCAGTTGCTGATGAAAAGAAAATAGAAAACAAACCAAAGAAGCTACCATTGGGTCCACGCCAGTCTGGCACAAAGTTTTGGGCAAAAATATCCGCTGAAAAGGAAGGATGAAAATATTCTCATGCCAGGTCACATTTCTTAAAGAGCAGTGACTGAAGTGACAGCCATAGAGACACGCTGCAGTTGAGGTTCAGTTCATTTGTGTTGTGTGTCCTAGTCACTCATGAAAATTACTATGATGAGTCTCTCCCAAACTCCTTTCTACTGGGACCTACCTCTGTAACTGAAGAATCCTTTTGCTTGCTTGCATCAGAGGCGGGAATCACTGTCCCCACTAAGTAATTTATGAAGGAAACCATTATAACTAAGAAGAAGAGCACCTGTGCCTGGGACACCAAAATAATCCAGCTGAATAATCAATTCCCTGCTGAGCCCCTGTTGAGCACTCTGCGTGAGGGCCTAGAGATATTTTGGCAACTCCTATGCAATTCTCAACCATTTTTCTAACTCAGGAGGTATAGATATGTTACCTGAAAGGCCATTCTGCTCTGATGACTACAGAGCATGATCGTTCACCTGAGCTTCTCCTAAATTGCAATGGGGATCTGTCACCTACTATTGGTGAGTGTAAAGGAGGGATGTGTTCTGTGCTTCCCCTCCGCTGCTCCCAAACTTGGACACAGCCAGATCTCAGTCAATTCTTTCGGCTGAGGATAAGGGAAATGTGACTGTTCACAGAGGACAGCAGGTAACTGGACTCAATTGTCCCTTCCAATCTTTTGTTCTTAGAAGCAGCATTTCTGACTGGACTTGGATCTGGGTTACAAGATGCAGCATGGACCCCAAGAAGTGACTAACATGATCTAATCCTTATGTCTCCTCTCACTAGGTTTCCTTGACCAGAGGGCATTTGAGGCCAGTTAAAGAAGTCAAACAGAACAATTAGCATCTAAATAAATGAACCAGGTGAAGGATAATATGGCGGTAAACTGGTTAAGATGACTCAGGGGATATCTGGACCTACAGAAGAGTGAGACGATCACATGCAATTTCAACAGTCCAAAGAAAATAATATATGGAATGATAGGGCCCATGTTTCAGGGCAAAAACTGTTTATCTAAAGAGAGGTCAGGAAGAATTTACCTTGAAGGTAAGAACTGTGTAATTAGTTCTATTATTGGAGAGAAGGTGTGTCTGGCTACATTATTCCCTGAAGCAACTAGCAGTGGAGGCAGTCTGAGCTAAATGGACCATTGTCTGTTGTGGTCGGGACATTCTTAGGTTCTTCCTAACAAGCAAACATTACCTTTGCTTCCCATTCCATTCCAGCCAAAGAAATCCGGAGTAGAACTGTCACCGTAACAATCCCAATGATACAGATGTCATTTGTTGTGTCTACAATGGATGAATTGTATTCCTGAGAAAGGAAACAAAAGTGCCTGCAATTATGGAAGCAGATTTTAAAGCTTATGATCTTAACCATAGAGATAGCACAGGATCCCCAGACTTCTCCCTACCTTACTAGATTTTGCCATTTCTTCTCTTATTACAAATCAACAGAGAATAAATAAGCTAGAAAGAAATACTGAGCAATCATTCTTTTGTTCCAACATTCAATAAATGAAAAGTCATTTCAAGAGGTAGTTACTTTAAATCTAGCCTACAAGGCATTTTCTTAGACTTATATTTTCATTTAAGTTTTATGGGCATAATATTGACTCTGAGTGCAATGGCTGTATTTTAACTATATTACATATGGCACTGTGTAAATAGAGACATACATACAATTTCAGATAGTTTTAAGGAAGCAATTAATAAAATTGCATCTTGGCAACTAAATATACAATTTCCTAAACATCCAGATTTAAAAGTAATGTTTAAAATAGATTTAACATTTAAACAAATATTTTCCATTTCAAATCAAATCAAAATCAACCGAGAAAAGGAATGTGCTACAAGGATCGGTCCTGAAATGGCTTGCATGGGATAAGAGGGCCATTTCCACCTATAACAGCTGTGATGTCCATGAGTGCTGACAGTTGATGTTTGATTATTAAGGATCATTTATTCATTTGGGTAGTAGCTACTAATTGGGACTGCTCATAATTTGTTGTCATCACATATTGGTTCTTGATTAATTACTGATTTGCTTATAGTAGAACACACAATGAGCTAGATACTCTTCAGGCATCCAGGAAGAGGTGGTTTCTGCTCTAAAAAGCTCACACTTCAACAACAGATGGACAGGTAGAGAGCGGCTTAGGGGAAGCTGGAAGAAGAAACACCAAGTTCGTGGTAGGCAATGTGGCAGAAGAAGGCCATTCTGAGGGACTTGAATGCTGAAAGTGCCTTGCAGGTCAGAGGCAGACAATGCATGAAATGACTGTGATTTCTTACCTGGAGCGATACTGTTTCTGCAAAGCCCACTGTGTGCATGGCCACTGCCACAGCATTTGCAAAGGCAAATATAAGACCAATGGAGCTGCCCAGCTCTGGCCCAAGGCTTCTTGAGATGAGGAAATGCGTGCCACCTAACACAAGTGAGAAACACTAAGTGGCTAACATTTTATAGTGCTTGACATGCTCACAGATATTTATGAGCCAAAAAGCACTTTCTTAATTACTATCATCTTAATTACTGATTGTTAACCTCCTTTTTGAAAAGCTAACCAGAGTTTAGCTTTTGAAGTCTCTTATGAAAGGACATACTGGGCATGTCTATACATGCATTTAGGTGCACATTAACTTAATGCTCATTAAGGTGATTTAGTTTTGCACCAGACATGCATGCATTAAAGAGCATTAATGCCATGTGTGTGGACTGACATGGGGCTGAAGTTAGTTTCAAGTCAGTCCATACACAGCGTTGATGGACCTTAATGCACATGTTAATGTGCTTTAGATATTCATGCCTAAATTTGATACCTGTAAAAGCAACCGAAGAATAGCCTAACATCACCATCTTTAAGGTGCATTAAGGGCATGCATTTGTGCCTTAACTCAGGCTAAAGTGCCTTAAATTGGCATGTGCATATGTGCCCATTTTTAACTCCCTGATCACAAACCACTTCTAAATCTTTGTCAAAGGTTTCATATCCTTGTAGAAGCATAGGCACCATACAGAATACCAGTCATGGTCTCATAGGTGATGTATATTGAGATAATACCACCTCCCTTTACTTGCTCAATATTCCTTTTGAACACACGCATAGCCCTTTTGGCCACACCATCATACTGGGAGCTCATGTTTTATGGATTACCTGAATCCCACAGTCTAACACTGAACAATGGGATGAGTGGGGGGGCTGCATGACCTAAGAAGTCTTTTTGGTCTTTTTTCCATGGTGATTTCAGAGTGATTGTGAATTTAGTGGCTAAAGTTAATATTGAAAGTTCTCAGACTGTGAGGGACTAAGAAGACTGTATGAATGCCCAGTGGTGATGAGAGCCCTTCCAAAGAAAACTGGAGGGGCAGGAAACCCGTTGCTATCTGATTTCACTTTGCCGTTTGTGGAGATGGCGGAGATGGACAAACCCATGATGCTGGTCACAGTCACAGGCGTCAAGATGATCAGCCACGTCAGTGCTGCAGAAAAGAAGAGTTAGTTTAACTTCATCACTTAGTAAAGAAAAGAACATTTCCTATAGTGTCCACTTCCACTGACTCAAGTGACTAAACCCACCTTCAGATCCCATCCTTTAACCCACCACTTCTGTAATGCAGTCACAGGCAGGGAGGGGCCATTTTCATTTAGCTTTGTATTGTGTCAAGCATTCTGCTGGGGATCCAGTCTGTGCTAGTAAGAAGAGAGGGAAGATGCACCTACCAATTCCTGCCTGTACAGTGATCCAGGGCAATTGCGAATACAGAATTACTCCCAGATATTCAGCATGCAACGAATATAGAGGGAAAACAGCAGGGATAACCTTATGCAATTGCCTGTAGAACTGACAATACAATGGCACAGAAAAGAACAGGAACTGCCAGCCCATAGCACTGCCCATGGCCCTGCTGGTCCAGAATCTGTCTGTAATCATGAATCAATACCCAGTGTGCTAGGGAAGGCACAAGAAACCTTGAAGTGGCACAACGTGCCTACAGGAGAGTATACTTTTAACCTCTACAGTGAGATGCTGACTTGTGCCCTAAAGCAGGATATTTTCTATCCCCTGCAGGGTTTCTTAAATCTTCTGATCCTTTCATCTATAGCATTAATTCAGTACTCATCAGACTCAGCTCTTAACCAGCATTTTCACCTGCTATTTTCACTTTGAAACTCTTTAAAAAGGACATCAGTGTCATCACTCCTGGTTTACAGAAGGGGAAACTGAAGCAAAGAGGCGTGAACTGACTTGCCCTGAGACACCCAGCAGCAGCACTAGGATGGCAGTAAGCCCAGGTCCTGTCCAGTGCTATAGATGTAGGCCATGCAATTATTTAACTTAGAGAACTGCTATAGCCTCTTCATGGTTAGAAAATAGAGGCACTGACCTTTCTTAAAGTCACATAGGAAGGGAACTGGGGTTACAGTTTAATCACTGCAGTTTCCTTCCTCCCAGAGTATACACTGCCTCCAATACCTTGGGGCATGAACTGCACAAGCTAGCTGTGCATTCTCTAAAAAGAAGAGGTTTCCTTTCATCCTTCTTGAATACATTGCCTTTAGTTCTGTCAAATGTTCTTTTAATTCATGTATCATTAAATAGAGTCAATAGAAACCTCTGATCTGGCTTCCATATTGTGGAATCAGAAAAAATATATGCCTTAAACTTTGACTATTTTAGTTATAAGATGACATAACCGCTTTGTGGAGAATTGCTGGCTCTGTATAGTAAAACAGATAAGAGAAAGTGTTTGTTCTTTGTAACTCCTCTGCAACTGCTTCGCTCACCGCGGCCTTAAAGATAGCAAAAAGTATGTACAACTCTGATTTGCAGGTGCAAGAAGGAGGTTTGTGAACTAACCTCGCCTCCCCCATTAGTTCCCATCCTGATTACAGCAAAGAAATAATGAAATAATATTATAGCCGCTTTTCATGCTAATTTCACTATATGATCACGTGAGTTGTAAGCAACTGTTAAAAAGTATATAAGCCTCCTGATTTTGCTCTTGGGGGGGGACCCCTTCCAAGTGCTTGGGAGATCCATGTCACTTTGGAATCCCCCCCTACAGCTGTAGTTTCTTTTAAATAAAAGCTTCTGCTGACCTGACCCAAAAGTATGCTGCGTGTGTTTCCACGACAATTCCTGGTGCCGT